GTTGGTGCAACTTTTCTGACAACTGCTCAGTTTCTCTGTGGGACAGCCCCCCCAGCCTGACCATCCCACACCCACCTGAAATGCCTCCAGGTCCGCCTCAGCCGTCTTCAGCCCACTATCGATGACCTTCTGCTTCTTGGTCAGGGCGTCCACCTCCTTCTTCAAACCCTCTGCTATCTTCTTCTCCTCGGCCAGCAGCTCCTCAATGTCCAGACGTTTCTCACGGAGGGCACAGGTGTTATCAAACAAGGCCTGTCAAGAGGACAGCAAACAAAGGTTTCAATTTTGGAAAGCTCTACGGCCTTGATACTCTCTGACGGAATACTGAGCAGGAGTGAACAAAGAAATCATAAAAGGTGTGACGGAACAAATGCAGAGTACGATGTTGCTAAAATTCATTTCTTGCATACTTCCTAGCTTGTTTTTTTTTCTAGAACAGAATCCAATGCCATAAAGTTGCTGAAAGCAAATGTTGATCTAGGGTACGGGTGAGGGGGGAAGGGTGTCAGGGCAGACACGGGGGCGCACCTGATCACATCCCGGAGGACAGACGCTGTCATCCAGCCCTTCCTCCTCACTGTCCTCCTCATCGCTCGACCAATCTGATTCATCCTCAGAGGACTCCTCGCTCTCCTCGTCCGAACCTGGTAATTGAAAAGCACGGGTAGTAAATTAATTTGGCCCCCTTTGTGTCTTGGTCTCTCAGTACATGTTTCGATTTCAAAAATGATGGTTTTTGTGTTTATTGCTTCCCTTCTCAGTCTGACAATGGAGGGCTAGCTCACACTGAAAATCACGCGCCACCTGATGTGGCAAAATTAGGCAATCACAGAGTACGCTAGAGGATTGTGCACAGTCTGTCGAAAGTCAGACCCAAACAGTGCCGCTCATTTGGCAAATATTTGATCCTGATCTCGTATGCCCGAGGGGCAATCAACCTTTACTTGCTTATTAGAGGAAGGCTGCACAGACTCCTGTCTCGTTTTGCACTGAGCAAACAGGTTTCTCTCTCCAAATGTAAGCTTTATCTCCGCCTATGTCTTAGGCCCTGTCCCAATTTCTCGGCTGCAGCTCGAAATTACACACGACTCTATGGGAAGTAACTGCAGCTACCACCACAGACTCGTGCGTAACTTCAAGCCACAGCCAAGTAATTGGGACTAAACCTTAAATTTCACGACCTTAGCTCCTTGAAATCAGACCCTCAAGCCAAATGTGGCTACCGCATGTTTCCATGTTTCATTTGGTCCCAAAAGTGAGCATTGGAATGTGAGCTGTGAAGGGAAGGACTGAAGCCAAAGATGGGGGGCAAACGGGGGTATGCAATCACTGGGCCTTGTTCTGTTTCACACTCCATCTTTGCTGTCCAGTGATGTAGTCGAGTACTTTTTGAGAACCAAGTTCTGTACCAAATATTTAACTAGTTAGGAGGGAACAAAGCTGAAATACATCGGCATGTTAAGGTACATGCATAAAGGTAAGATTACAAAGCAACATAATGACTTCAGACCATCACTGTTTGATTAAAATGAACTTTTTAGGACAAAAGTACTCGGAAAGTACTCGGCCGAGTACTCTCCGAGTACTTTTCTCCTTATAACTTAAATTTTACACAACTGGG